AAAGAATAGATATTACATATTAGATATGAATTTTGTTTGCGTAGTCCACTGCATAGGCTGATTGATTAAAATTTGCTTGGAACAATGTAAACGTTGAAATGATAATGCGAGCAAATCGACATGATGAGATACTGAAATTCTCAAGTGGCAGAATCTCATTAGTTATGCGATAATCTGCTGTGAATTTCGTGTTTTCTTGGTAAATGTTACTGAGAAGCTGTCTTTCTTATCAAAATTATGTTCCGTTATTACAGCTGTTAATCATACATTTCTTGTATTTAAAAGTTTTAGAGACTTGATATATATGCAAAACACAAAAATCGAAAAATTTATGTTTTTTGGTACGTAATAAATACTTATTACAAACGGAAATATTGCGGTCGTTCTCTAATCGTATTTGAAAGGACGGAAATGCTCGCTGGCTAGGAAAATTTTTCATTGTGCTGTAAATTAACCAATTTACAATGGAATTTTTCATCTCACCGTAATGAGAAAAATTATGCATGCTCTCGAAATCGTGTGTGTTATATACCGAATTTTTTGCGCGCGCGAAAGAAGATAACCAAAATTTTCGGAGTAACACAGTTAAAAGGCTGTTATGTGGGAGGGAAACGCTATCTCCATAACGATCGATTTTCTTGAAGCGTGAATTTGCGAACCATCACCCAACGGTTTCACCATGGCGACAGTGCGGTAGTGAGATGGAATTGAGGGTGGAAAATAGTAGATGAGAGATAGAACTCGTTTGACTTCATAATTTGCCTCGAAATTGCTTACTTCCGGCGTACTTACATACTTACGACACTGTAATTGCATACTTAGTAGCGGCTTTTATTCTGGAGGCCCATCAGTTACATAACAATAATAGTTGTTATTATTATCATCTTAATAACATCTTAATATATCTATGATATATTTTTTAATAATTATTTATTTTATTTTATATATATATTTATTACAATATCGAGTCGTCATAATTATCAAGATCTGAATTATACAAATTTTATTCGACCATCTGAAAAATTTCCAAGCACTATAAATAATAAATAAATCACTTACTTTAAAATTGTTCCACCGATGACTGATGCCTTCCGGACTTTTTCTTATTTCTTCCAATGATCTATGAATGATGAAATCTCTTTCATTCAAGAAAATATAATTACAATTGCACGATACTTTATAGAATACTATCGAGATTAACCAATATTAACCGATATTAAGTTTTCTCGATACGTCACATCATGACAAAAGAAAAACTTGAGAAAAGTCCGAAATCACACGGAGTCACGATCCGTTTGACACGTGCAAAAGTAGACAATAATGATAGACAGCAATTGAAAATTTTAAAGTTAATTTTTAAGTATTTAAGACATTTTATTACATCTCGTATTATAATAAATTGATAAAAATACTCAAGTTAGAATTAAAAATTTTTTATTTTAGAACAACGTATTGTAAGCGCCAATTGCGGGGATAAATTGCGTGATTAATAAATCAACAATGATTTGTAGGAAATAATTCTATATTTGTTACGAAAAAGTAAAAAAGTAATATTCTAATATGGATTACTGCTATTGTCTACCCTATTTGAGTATCATTGTGTGAATGACAACAAGATGATAACGCGTAGGCAGGGCTGGGCAAAATACATCATTAAGTATTTAAAATACAAAATACAAAATACTGTCAATCTTAGTATTTTGATAGAAGATTGATAGTATTTTATATTTTGTATTTCAAATACTTAATGATGTATTTTGCCCAGCTCTGCATACGCGCGGTGTTTACGCGCTATCATCTTGCTGTTACTATTCGCACGGCTCACAAGTAGAGCAGACGGCGGTGGAAGATCGCTCTGTATTATTACTTTTGAAATCGTGATTGTGACAAATATTATAAAATTATTATTTGTCAATTATTGCCGATTTATTAGCGACAATTAATACTGCAATTAATGACTCATATTTCGTTCTACAATTATAAATTTTTAATTATAACTCGTATATTCTACTTATTTATAACAATTTGATTTTTCATATTTGAAAAGCGCGGAAATTTACAAAAATACTTTGGGTTTAACATGGTTGAAACGAGTAATGTAAAATTAATTATATTTTTCGATTTCTTGTCGTTATCTGTTTGCGACGTGAGTATCGAATAGATCGTAGCTCCGTGCGATTTCATGCTTTTATCGAGTTTTTCTTTTGTCACAGTGTGGCAAAGTCGCGTCGGAATAATATTTAATATCGATTAGTATCATATAAATATCGCGCGATTGTAATTATTTTCGCGAGTGAAGGAACAGTCATCGATAGAAAGAGGAAGAAGTCCGGGGGACATCGGGTACTATCAAACCAACTTTAAAATAAGTAATTTTATCATTATTTATCATGTATTTGTTATTTGCAGTACTTGAAAATTTCAAATCAAATTGAAAGTATATTTGAACATTTTCCGAAATATAAAAGGCGCATCTTGCAGCATTTTATTTGAAGAACTGAAAGGTTTTTTTTAGACATTTGTTATTATGCTCTAGTAATTAATTTTTATGCATAACAAAAAAGAGATATATAAAGAGATATATTAAATAAAATGTTACGACGCTCTGCGTGGCAGCTTTTGAAGTGCATAAAAATGGCGAACATGTTATTCTATTAGAAATTTATTTTTTTTTTATGTCACTTAAAATATGATTTATATCATATTACTTTATTAACGGTTAATTTCAACAGAATTTTTTCGTAATAAACTTCGTTATAG